TGCCGATGTTCCATGCACCTTGGATGCCGACAACGGCAACTTTCAATCTCGAAAACTTCTCATCCGATGCTCGCTCATCTTTCCATCATTTGTGCTGCTTATCTTTTGTTCCTTCCTTTTCATTTCCGTGCATCCTTCTATCCGCCTCAAGGTCTGGATCCTGCGCTATACTTCGGACACTGACACTACTTTTGGATCCCCGAATGTGGCTCCCATAGGAGTGTATCGCTAAACTCTCTGCTCAATTTCCCGCCTCGCCTCGTGTGGACCGTCTGCGCGGACTCGTCCTCGAAGCACGAGGGGATGAAGTTGCGGCCGAAACCCTCTACGCAGCTCTCCTAGACGCAGATCCTTCCAATTTGGTGAGCACCGCTCTCGTGCTTAGAGGCCAAACGTCACTGATCTACGTCCGGCGTCCAGGCTATTCGGAAAAGGCAAGTCACGCTTTCTCGGGGGAGAGGCAATGTAGACGAAGCGCTAGAAGAGCTTCTTGTCATTGTGGATACTTGGTATACCGATGTGGAGGCGTGGCTCGAGCTCGCTGATCTGTACGCCGAATGCGGGCTGTGAGTCTTCTCTCTCTCTTCTTATTGTGATCCATCTTCGTCGCCTGTCATGAGCTAACTTCTATTCTCTTGGGCTGTGGGTTTCCGTGCTTGCTTGGGCACCGTCAGATACTCCCAATCCCTTTCTGCACTCTCCCATACACTGCTGTTGAATCCCCAGAACCCCTTCCATGTCCTGAGATCGGCGGAGACGGCATACACGACACAAGACGTGCCCCTCGCACTCAAGTTTTTCCTGAGAGCGGTGGAGATGATGGATGATGCAGCCGATGGGAGCGGCTCACCAGCTGGACTTGCAGGTGCCGCAACGAGAGGGTGGTATGGCGTCAAGTTGGTACGTTCCGTGCTTCTTCCCGTCATATTGAAACCTTCTGTTCTCGTTGTTACCATCTTTGTCTTCTTCTCGTCTGCGCCAGGAGATCCGTCGAGTGCCGGACTCCACGACTCATTCTTGCTTACCTGTCCCACGTCTCGCTATGGCTAACTCAACTTCCCCACATCACTTAGTGCGCTCGCCGTCTTCTCCAGGCTCCTTCTTCCTCTTCCTCCGGTACTGCGGCACCCTCGGATCAGCATCTTGCACTTCTGGATGAGCTTGCAACTGAGCGGATTCTCGCAGCTTATTCTTCGCCTGCAGTGCGCTCCAAGCCCAGAGTAGGAACAAAGAATGCAAAGAGAGTCGACGAAGAGAACGTAGTGCCAGCCGAGGTGAGGGGTGTGGTGCTCAAATGGCTCCAAGGCAAGTAATTGTGCGCATCGCCCGCAACTCCATGCATGTACGTTAGTCCATTCGTTCGCACAAATGTGATGTGAGGTCATCATGACTAGCGACGACGGGGGTCCTATTCTTGTCTCGTCAGTGGAGCACTCGTGATGCAAAGGATGATGCTTGTTCCTAGTGTGGGGTATCTCAATCGACTTGCAAGTATACAAGCTGGTGTTGGACGTTCATTGAGCGTCTCGTGGGGCCATTGACTTGGATCGGCATACACCACTTATTGCATATAACATTTGCCAGCGGGGATCTCCACTAGATGGCGACCGCGGATCCCTATTACACCGCAGTACGAGAGGAGCCTAGACTCCAAGGAACCCATTATACTGCGCTGAGAATGCCAACGTTAATGGTGAATAGTGGAGTGTGGGGGTCTGGGCTCCATGGAACTCATAATACGAATCTCAAATGAAGGCGGGCTTTCAAAGAGCGATCAGGTCGAGAACAGGATGGGACAAATCGGACATTACACGGTCATGTAATGCAGGCGACGATCACTATGCAGTAGAAAGGCCACATGTCTGCATTGATCATCAATTGTTGGGATGACGAACTCTGAGTCAACTACGCAGCTGCAGATCATTTATTCCCGAGCCCGGATTCCTAGGAAGGTTCCGGATGAGATCACCATCCTGTGATCGTGTGTAAACCAACTCGCGCAGACCAAGAGACGTAAGACGTACAATCGTTGCTATGGAGTATGGTAAATGCTTTTAGGAAGTCTTAATTCGATCGATTGTGGAGCGAATGGCGTCGGGTATGCACTCGAAGTCTCCATCGCTCCACAGCGAGGAAGTTTGAATCTCTAGTGACGATTCTGCGTCTGCGTGAGATGCTAGGACCTCGATCCAAAAGAAATCGCTTAGAACTTCTAGTTTCTAGCTCAGAAGAAGCTAGTGCTAAGACTGGGCACAGTTACACTCCATGACTTGCAAAGAGGTGATGGCGCCTTATTGCTTGTGATGTATGCCCGACGAAAGGAGTGTTATGGCTCCAACAGAAAACAGTAATCAGGGAGAGTATGGATCTTGAGAGAAGCCATCTAGTCGTGTTGTGCCCCAGTCTTGATCTTGTCAACCTGAGGGTGGCGCCTCTTTCTCGTCCCAACCTGCGCTTCGGCCTTGAGTATGCGTTGACTCGCTGCTCAAGTAGGTTGAGCTGGACCATGGATCTCGAAGTCTGCGAAGCATGTTAGAAAGATCAGGAGATCGTATAATCCAAAAGGATTCCTGTTCGCCTGTGATTGACAGCCTGAAGGAACCACAGCGAAACACTGAGAAATGAGAGGGTCGGCGATCAGCTTCGGCTCATACAGTGATTCGTTGTCAATTGTGTCATTTGAAACAATGGAACTTCCTCGTTTCCACTTTCGCACTCAAGTGGTATCGTCAAGTTCCGGATATAAATCACGAAAAACTTTGTGAGTAATATATTGGGAAGTGCCTGCACTCTCAGCCCTGGAGCATGAAATACAGATTGATTGGTGCCATATACATTCAAAAGGGGGCAAACCGAGTCTAAAAAAGACGGTAGGACATCAGTATGGACACAAGGAGCGTAGTAGCATCATCTCCGCCATACCAACTTTTGGCATGCGTCTTGAACATAGATCGTTTTGGACGTTGCCCAGCAGGACGCTCAGCCTGTGCGAAGAATGAGATGAACACCACTGTCGGTCTCGACGACATCGCTCATCTTTCCATTCTCTAGGGCATATGCCGCTTCTTCGAAAGGCTTTTGCATCTGGCCGCGACCAAACCAACCGAGATCGCCAGACTGGGCATGCGACCCGCAATCCGAGTGCTTGGCAGCAAGCTCGTCAAAGGTCCCTCTCGGGTTCGGAGAGTTGACGATCTGGTCTTGGTATCCCTTGAGAATGGTGATAGCGTCGGCTTTGGAGCGCGTGATGTTCGCCTATGATTCAAATTTAGAAACGACAGTGTAAGAGATCAATTACGGGGTAGAGTTCAATCACAGAGAGGAAGCGAAAGGGATTCGGCGACGAATTAGTCAGCGATTCAAGGACAATATCTCGAAGACGATCTCAGGTTACAGACCTCTTTCCAGCTTGACGGACGACGGCTGCCCGAATGCTTCACCAACAAGTGGCTCGCGCGAACCTCGCCAGCCTTTCCTGGTGGAGGCTTTGGAGTGCCATCAGCGTTTAAGTAGTCAGTGGCACCTGGAAGCGCCATGATTTGGGCGAGCGAGAGGCCTTCAGGAGCGTCCCATTTGGACTCCTTCGTCTCACTATTGAGGAAGTATGGCACTTGGCGTGAGTTGGAGAGCTTTACGACCCAGTCAGGCTTTGAAAGAAACAAAAATAAGGAGCCAAGGGTTAGCTTTTCCAGCCTGCATAAAGAAAAGTGGGAGGTCAAATCGAGAGAGGCCCCTTTACCATGTTGGCTGCTGAGTGATGTGGGGGAATCGAGCACGTGCCAGGCTTCTGATTGGTTGCTTTGATTCAGGGAAGATCGATCGAACAGGCAAACACCAGACCACAGCCATAGTGTGGCATATGTGGAAGCCGAATTATGATAGTGCCAACGATCACTGAAGAAACAAGGCGAATTTGGGTCGAATAAACGTCGGGACTCGGGTATAGTGATTCACCGCTCAACAGCACAGCACTTGGTCGAGATGATTTTTTGCGATGTGAGATAATCTAATGCTATGCAGATTTGCGCGTCTGTGCATTAGATATATATCTACGCTATGGAAGTTTTACAATATAGCTTGTATGTTGTTGAATGTGGTGAGAGTCGTTGCGCGTCTGTGCATTAGATATATATCTACGCTATGGAAGTTTTACAATATAGCTTGTATGTTGTTGAATGTGGTGAGAGTCGTTGCGCGTCTGTGCATTAGATATATATCTACGCTATGGAAGTTTTACAATATAGCTTGTATGTTGTTGAATGTGGTGAGAGTCGCCCAGAGCGGGGACACTCAATGGCATGTGACAGATTGAATCGTTAGACACGAAATATTTCTCCACTTGTTATTATCCAATAGGACCGTCGAAGAAGTATTCTTGGTCACGTTTTTATTGCTTTTCGACGTCAAGGGCCGCACTCTGATTAGTCAATCGACCGGAATCAATCACTCCATAGTCTGTTTCGCGCTCCTGTGATAGCCTTTGACCTTGTTCATTGCTTCTAAGGGGGGTGATCTTGCATCAATTAATTAATTCATGTAGTACCCATAGCTGCGATGTATTTGTCGAAAACTAAGGAGGTAGACGTACATCTTCTCGAGTGGGATCAAGCTGTCACGGTTAGAGAAACGTTATACTTTTACTTTACACCATGTTATATCTCGCAATCAGAACTGAATAGAGTCTTTATTTAGGAGATTCATCATGAAACAACGAATATCCTGAGCTCACACCCGCAAAAATGCAGACGGCAATTGAGATTTCTCAACGAGACGGCGGAAAATCACGTCAGCCCGTCCACTCAACTTGGGATGAGCGTCAAGCGACAACCATCCGTCAGAACTGGCTAGAATATCGCACAGTGATGTATCTAGAGAATTTCTATGAACTACGATTTTTTGCCCATTTTTCCAATCTCAGTTGGGGCGAGGATTGTTTTCCCGTTCAGTGTTCTATGTTGCCAACTGGTGAAACTTGACCACCAACGAAAAATTGCAAAAATAGGTCGTGCCCGGATTCGAACCGGGGTTAATGGAAGATCTGACGTGTCAAAATCCACTGTGATAACCGCTACACTACACAACCTACGTTGTGTCGAGTTCCATTAAAACCTTTGTGAAGGTCTAAGGTGAGTTGATGGAAATTCCCAAGCCGTTCTCGCGTTTCTCGCACGTGTGACGGGATGCATCTGAGGGCTAGATGAAGCAGTCAAGAGTAATTCCCTACCTCCATTCATCATATTAATATAGTACTTCTTCATCATCTTTGTCGTGTCAACTCGGAAACACGATTAGATAAGGTCACGCTCTCCACTGCGGGGCCCATGGACGGATGGGAGTCCTCAAAGGTTGAGACACATTCCTTCCTTCAGTAAAATACCAAAATCTGACTAGGTAACTGTAGAGTTCTGCGCCCCGGAAGAAAGTGGCGGATGTCCCTGACGAGTGGGACGCGGATGATGATACCAATGAGGTTGAAACCGACCCAAGTGAAGCCGCTCAACGATCGGAAAACGCAACACTCTGGCAACAAGCGTGGGTCCATTTTCAGAGACTAGGGTGCTATTCCATCTGATGCAATGACACAGGGAAACATCTGGTAAAATGCCTGAGATCGTCTTACAAGCCAACTCCTCGTCGATGACAAGCGCGGCATCTGCAGCCGCAATCCTGCCCCTCGAGCCCAAGATGCGCATCCTAAAACGACCTTCAAGCAATTCTCCGACCCCCCAGGCCACTCCTCCGGCTTCCTCGACCATAAAAGATCGCGAAGCTGCTTATGCCGCTGCCCGCGAACGCATCTTCAACTCACCGTCCCCTGCTCCAGGAACCTCCTCTACGGATCCCCTGGCCGGAGCAGTATCTCCTGCATCACAATCAGCTTCCCAGCCGAGCTCTACAGCTTTGGCCAGTCAATCGACCCCAGCCTCCGATGCCGGTACCGGTGTTCGGATCGCTCGCGAGCCTGCTGGGCCAGATCCAGCGGAACATCGAGGATTCCGTCGACGAACTCCCGGTGGCTCACGTTCTATCGCGATTTCTGATTTGCCCGATTTGAAGTAATATCGCACCCCGATTCCCGATCGAGAAATGTATATAGCTGCATGTGGCGATCAATCCTTTCCTTCCAACCACCATCTGTACTACTAGTTCTATATAAGACTCTGTCTCTTTGTCTGGTGAAGGTTTGATTTTTGAATAGCTGGTCCTCCTTCACCGCTTCGTGAGCGTTCTAAGCTAGTTGGAAACGTCCAACTCGGCTGATTTGGCTCACACACTATTGTTATATACAGCGCAATATGCACTCACATCACTCGCATTCTGGCCAATTCTGCAAACATGCTGTAGGGACATTAGAGGAAGTCATACAGACAGCTATTGGTAAAGGATTCACCATCTTTGGGCTTTCGGAGCACGTCCCCAAGTACCGATTGGAGGATCGGTACCCTGAAGAGGTGTGTTCATATGGATGCTACGTTTTGGTCGCTCCAAACCTTACCGCCGAATCTCGCAGGAAGAATTTTCTCTCGCCTGGTTTGCGAGTACATTTGACGACTACGTTGAAGAAGCCCACCGTCTCCGTACCAAATATGCCCCGCAAATCACGCTTCTTGTCGGGCTCGAGACAGACTACGTCACAACACTGGACCTCGAAAAGCTTCAAGAAAAGCTCTCGAGATATGGGGACTCGATCGAATATATCGTTGGCTCTGTGCACCACATCGACGAGATCCCGATCGACTACGGTCAAGAGCTGTTCGACAAAGCTGCTGCGCAAGTCGCGGCCGAAGGCATCTATCCCACCACGTCGAAGCAGACACCAGTGCTAGAGCCACTCATCTCCCGGTACCTCGATAGTCAGCTCGAGGTCATGGAGCGATTCCACCCAGAAGTGATCGGACATTTCGATCTCTTCCGGCTCTATTACCCCAAATACTCTTTGGGTGAGACAGAGACACCCGAAGTCTGGGGGACGATCAAACGGAATGTCCAGTTTGCGGTTGGGTACGGGGCGCTGTTCGAGCTAAATGCCGCTGCGTTTCGGAAGGGATGGGATCAGGCATACCCCGGGAAGGAGCTCGCGGAGGTGCGTAGCATACCAAATACAATGATTCCACAATTATCTGTTTCTGATATACTATTTTTCGTTTCGGTGCAACGTTACGGGTTCGTAGCTCATCCTCTCCCTAGGTGGTCGCTTCACGCTCTCAGACGACTCGCATGGACCTCATGCTGTGGGTCTGAACTACTCACGACTGCATACATACGCAAAGGACGTCCTTGGCCTGAAGGATATCTGGCATCTTGAGCGTTGCGAGGAGAAGAACGCAGGTGGGCGGAAGGTGAAGGCGGTGAAGTGGGAGGGGTCGGGCGAATGGCATTCACAATCATTCTGGAGCGGCATATAGCTGGAAGGGGGCAAATTGATGCGCAAGCATGGCAAGAAAGGACATTATTGATACACAAATTTCCAAATCAGTTGACGAGTAACAGTGTATTGTACAGATAGAGCTTGGCCTAAGTGCATGCGCAAGTTATCCACTCAACTCAGCGACGGGGGACGCTCGCAATAAATCCAAAGCTTGGGGCGACCGAGCCCGCACTCGAACACTGAATGGCTCCATCTCCCTGTAGATAACGGATGAGACCCATTTCGGGGATCGTAAGGGCTTTGGATAGCTCAAGGTACTCACCGAAGGCTTAGGCCACTGAACTTGACGTGCGGCTCGTACTCAGCACCGTTCTCGTCAATTGGTTTTGACACGATGCATGTCGCCAAAATCGTTACGGCCAAGTGATAGAGAGTGCTGTCGGCGAACCACTGGCCTGGACAGAAACTATTTGATGGAGAGTAGTCATGGTAGATAAGCATGAGGATATATGGATCGCTTTGCGACGTGGCTCCAGACGCACCGACGCCCTACAGAGTACGCAAACGTTCTCGAATCGAGTTGAGGGTGTGTTTCAGGATCATCTGAGCGAAGGAAACGTTCCGGTACGAAGTCATCCGGGTTAGGATATATTTTAGGATCCTGAGCGATGTTCCTAAATAGAGCTATTTCAGCTGATATGATCATCTCAGATGAACCAAAATGAGGACAAACCAATAGTTGGCTAGAACAATTGAGCCCTTCGGTATTCGGTACCCTGACAATTGACGAAGACACCGCAGCAGTCAGTGTGAGGCAGTCAACTGAGGTAAGTGTAGCCGGTAAATGAACCTTTGTACTCGTCGTCCTCTGTAGTCATTCGAGGGATTCCCAACGGACCAATGATGTTCCACCTTAGTACTTCTTGAATTAGGGCCGCAACATAAGGAAGCGAATCGTGACTGAAGAAAAACAGTTCGGATGAGTGGATGGTATAAATTTCTCCACGGATGAGTGCTGGCTCACTCGTTAGAGTCGGGGATACGGTCATCTCCTACCACACGCTCGATCTCTTCTTGCGCTCTTTGCTGGGCTTCAGGGAACAAAGCGAGAACAACCAGCAGGCGATTCAGCGACGAATGAAGCGTGTCAGCACCTCCTCCGTCTGTCAATAGCGTTTATTAGCGAGGGAAAAGCACGAAATCAATCAAAATGGATGTGAAGACTCACAAACTGCCCCTGCTACCCAGATTTGGGTTTCGTCATCCGCAATAGGGTTTTCTATCATTCCACGCGTAAGCGAGTGCATTTCCCCGTCATTCTATATGAAGAAATATTAAGTCTTGAACGGGCTTTTTCTGAAGGAGGAGCAGCACACTCACGGGGTTCAGTTGCATGCGTCGATAAGGCTCGTATGCGAGCTTGTCGAGACGGTTTCTAACTCCCAGGCCGAATCTTTTCCATCCGGCTCCAGGGAACCAGGATGGAAGGTAGTTTACTTATTCGCAACGCTGGTCAGGGGACAAGACAGCGAGTATCCATTGAGAACGAAGAAAGGCTCACAGAAAGGCATGACGTCCACGAGGTACCTCCCAGGCGTAAATGACTCTATGATATCCCTCGAGCTAGCATCCGTGACGGCGACGTACTGCAATCAGCGCCTGTCAGTATTTGCTACGGAAACTAGGGAGCGAATGAGACTGACATCATCTTCCAGTGAATCCACTTTCATCCCATAAGTCATCCCCAGCAGAAGTTTCACAGTCAGACTGGATATGAAGGAAATATTAGCAACGTTTGGGGAATTATGGGAAGGACGAACGTACAGCCGTAGTTCGGAATAGGTAGTTTGTTGCGCACTGAGGGCAAGATCTAACAATCTAAAGCAAGAGGCCTTTGATTCTTGGGAGATAAAGTCGGAGTAGTTTAGGGTAGCTTTCTTCCCGAGATGTTCATGCCACAGTCGGCGCTGTGCTCGCCAATAGTCACCGTACGGTGCCAGAGGGGTGGTGCGACCGACACCCATTCTATCAGAGCGATATGGTGATTTATCGTAAGGATCGGCAAAACTGCGAAGAGCCTAGCTAGGATGAAAACCCTTGGCTTACATTTTGCCTGCCATAACAGCTCGTGGGCGGTCGGAATAGATGCTTGAGCGCTTCACGAGCAGGTCGTTGATTGCCTCCAAAGAATTGAGAATGATCATGGGGCGACCAAATACGGAGAGATAGACAACGTCCCCTAGAATACGAAAATCAGCATTGGTGTCAAGGATTTAGAGGGCGACACTTGAAAGACTAGACGAATAATATAGAGAGTGCATGCTTGGATAGAATAGAATGGGGATGTAGCAGCTCACCATACTGCTTCTGTAATTCAGCGCACCAAATCCAAGGTTCTGAACGAGGCACCTGGAACGCGTTCCCCGCAATAATAGATCCTCGAGGGCCTGGTGGTAAACGTTCACGACTCGCCGTGCCCTTGAGATAAAGAGCGATGGAAACGACCAAGACGACGACAGCAGCCACTAGCCCCAGCATGTCGCCCAGTGGAGTGTTGTTATTTAGTTTCAATATCTGAGGAACGAAGTACCACACTTGTGGAGGGTAGGTGGAATGTGGAGCAGCGAGGCAGTGGCTTCACTGAATGACGCAAATCCAATGCATTTGAGATTCCCACGGTCTGAAAGCGCTGTTCACGAGCCAACTCAGATAAA